TTTGGGGGTTGTTGTAGAACAAACAGAAAAGCCCCAAACGCCAAAACACGACACTGTAGTTGTCCGAGGCACTTTTCGGTAACAAAGTTACCTTCTTCAGAGACTGAAGTAAACTAAACTTAAATGAGAACTAATCCTAATTTATACTGATAGTTGTTAAGGTTCAGTAAACATGACCCGATGCCAATAAGGTAGATGTTCAATGGACCTTGACAAAAATAATTACACTAGACTAAATAGCGGAGATCCAGGGATAGGACCGTTGTCATAGTTAAGAACAATTTGTTTATTTTTATAAATGTATAAACTTTCAAAACTGTCTAGTAAACGATTATTCCTAACTTCTTTAACTAACTTAAGATTATTAATATTAATATTATGTTCATAAGTATGAATATGTTGGGCAACACTAGATTTTTCTTCTCTACCAAACCTAGCATGAGCTAGATGTTCCTTAAATCTAGTTTTGATTGAGCGTCTAGTTTGTCCAATATATTTTTTACTACAGTCATTACAACTAATTTCATATATCCCCGACTTTTCTAATTCGAACTGTAAGCAATCCGTAAACCAAGTTTTCGAAAAATACCCTCGAGTCCGCGAGTAAATCTTGGCTCGTATAGCATAGTAATAAACTTGGTCTTATTAGCGTCTGTTTGAAAAGTCGTAGAATAAGATAGTCCGCAATAGACTGTCTATGAGAATGGACGTATTTTCTTTTTTGTTTCTACTTGGACTGTAGTCATTTACTGCGTTTTAAACACGCCCTTGTTAAGTTAGGAAATGCTCCATGAGGAGTACAGACAAAGCGAAAAGAGATAACCGAATAATTGTAAGCGGTACAGCGGTTAGAGGTTGCTTAGGTACGCAAAGATTAGGGTCGGCTTTATAACTGCTTGGAAAATTCTGATTGTCAATATCTCTTTCTGTTACACATTAATTGATGTAATGTTATTCCTATTTCTTTATTAGTGTCCACTGCAATTCTTAACTGACATCTCTTTTTTGCTATGTTGCGATATTCCCGATTAACATCTGTCTTGAGTAAAAGTAGGCGTTCTGCCAGCAACCGCTCTAATCTAATTAGTAAGTTGAAAGAAGAAAGTAAATCTAACAGTTTAATTGCGAACTCTGCCAATTTTGAATGTTCCAACTATACTTGTTAACGTGTGAATGGCAAGCCATATTATGGTTAAAATTACATAAATAAGGTACCAATTCTAAGTGCACAAGGTCTAATAAAAGAGTGCTAAATAACCGTATAAACAAGAACGAATTTAAATAAACACTTAAAACCCAAAAATTCTACAAAACTTTTAGAAAACACTCAAGGTGCCAGAGGAAAATTTTGGGGTTCTAAATGTTTATTTAGTTACATTCCATAACATCCAATTATATTTTGTGTAAGAACCTATTTACCATACATAAGAATATTTCTAGTTTTAATAAATATCATGTTTTTCTTTTAATAAAATACTCCTCCTTACCTGGAACCAATTCTCGTTACCACTACCTCATGTATTAATTAGAAGTAACTATAAACAGCGAAATACTAGTACAAAGATTGAGTTACAAAAGATGGAGACGCTATGAAATCGAGTAGACCAAACCCGTCTTGTTTAAACGGATATGTTTAGACTGTCACGTAGATGTTTCACTCTAAGACAGGATGACAGTTGGCTTAAAAGGAAAAGTTCGCTGACTAGGCAGAGAGAATCCTAAATCCTTTTTATTCTGGGCGCCATCTGGTTGTCGATATGTAATATCCTTCTACTAAAACAAATTTATGTTTGGGGATAAGCCACTTTTAATAGGAATTCGCGACCAAAACTAATTTAAAAACAACACCATCTGGACTTTCTGGAAAATTCAATCAATAAGATACCTTAAGGCACCCTTTCAATATAACATTTTTATCCTATCCAGAGGATATTAATTTACCTATTACTGTTTACATAACATTAATTTATTTCTTCTTTTGTGTTCTCAATACTATATCGATGTGTAGTTTAAATAGCACTGTAACATATACCTTCATCAGTGAACAAAGTAATTAATTAATTAATTGTTTCCAAAAGATTATTATATGTAGTAGCGCAGTAGTAAGCCGTTGATATTTAATTTATTAGTCGTTCTACAACCGCCACTGTTTACATTTTTCATCGATGTAGCTGCTTAGTTGTTATCGCAATTGTTCTATACGTTGACAATTCACGCCCAGGGCCGGCTTCGGATTGCAACTTCGTCTGGTTTTCTTAAGAATGTTTTTGTCCCTTAACCTCTCCATACGATTCCCTGTTACATTTAATTAACACCCTTCAAAGCTTGTTGCTTCTTTCAGAAACACCCCGTATGTTTTACGTTAGAGATATAGAACAAAGAATAGGGTAGGGTGTGGTCGCTTTTAACAATAATAAATCAGTTATGTGCATAAGTTCGATTAATGGGGAAATTCGAAAACGATTATTGAAGAACGACATGGATGTAGAACGTGGACGCTTCGGAATAGAAAATCTGGTGTTACAGGAGGATGCTAAAAATTCAGCGAATAGCAAAGGTTTCAAATGAGAAGGTACAAGAAAGAGTAGAGCAGAGGTCATTAAGCCAATTATACATAGATGAGATAGGTTAATTAAAAACGAGAAATAAAAGCAGGAGTTAAATGGGGGTAGAGGCAGATTTTTCGTAAACAGTTACAGATGAATGTAGATCGAGTTTTCAAGAAATGCGAAGATTACCTAAAGATATATAGGGCAAAGTGATATTTCAGGCGTGTTAATTTATTCCCATAGAATTAAAAATGTTACGTTATCATTAAATAATCCATCGCCCTTCGGTTTTAATATTTAAGTGCCTACCTACTTGTAAAAAAATAAGCGTTTCTCTTGATTCTGAATTAATATTCGTTAAAACGAAGAATTCGTGACCCGGAATTTGTTTCTAAAATTCTACGTCATTAGAACTTCAGCAAAATGTAAATATCGCATTTTTTCACGCCAGACCTGCGCTTACTTTAAAGCAAGCTCATTAAAAAAACGCAAATGTAAACAAAATGTTCTTCCAGAATTTATAACCGCTTCTCTCTGTTCGTTATAACTTGCACTGTTTACAAAAGCTGCTGTTCTGCACTGTAGTTTTTTAATTTCGCATTTGATAGGTAAACAATAATTATTCAACTTGATCGAATGTTGGAAACATTTCAAAATATTATCGAAACTTTTATAGTTTATAAGTTTGCAATACATCTTTATTATTTTTTTTTTTTGAGCAAAAGCACCTGTTATTTGAGATATTGTTTATCACCACTCCAATCTTCGTAAATTGGGATTCGTCAAATGGGCATACACCATCTGGTGGCAAAATTTATAACTCGAATGAGGGAAAAATTTGCATAGGAACTGTGCACGCAAATTGTAAAATTGTTTATTAAAATAATAAAACACGTTAAAAAAGTAAAAAATTTTTTGATGATGGAGTCGAGGAAGTTTTCTTTTAAAGTTAAATCAAATAAAAAATTAATATGTTCAGTGAAGCTGCAATAGCACTTCAGACATAGATCTTCACTCTTCACCTACATTAACTACTTTCCAATAAAAACTAACCGTTTTATATATGTAAAAAATATATTCAGAAAATTAGAGAAAAAGGTAAACTAATAGAAGCTTGGATGAAAGCAGTAGGTATGAAAGAAGTGAATTCCGGAATAAAAATTTGTTCACGTCATTTTAATGCACATGATTTTATATTTCAGAAAATATTTACCATCAGCCATAACCTTAATATTTAAAACTAGAATCATACTAAAATTATAAAGTGAGAAATTATTTATTCCTGTGTAATTGATTTAACACAATTCTAATGATACGATATAAGTATTTTCAGGTTAAGAACCTACCTGCTGCAATACAACAAAGTTGCAATAATGTGTTTGCAACGTTCTCTTAAATCGGCTTTGCAGTGCAAGTCATTGATATGATATTGCTTAAATCACCCAGAATCACCTCACCAACTATATAACGTGAATCACTTTTTAAATCCGAAGTTTGTAAAAAGTAGGCAGTAAACTTGACGGAATTTGAAGGCTAGATTCCGGATTTGTTATTTCCGAATTTTATAATGTGATTGGCATTAAAAACACGCTCATCTTCAAGGAAATTTCCTTTCCGAGGCTTTGTGTCAGCCTAATCACATATTGTGCCAATATTTATCATTTTATCGTAATTTAAAAACTTGGAAATTGCACGGTACACTATAGGAACTACGATAAATTTTCCCTAATCGGCGCCATGTTTTTAGTCTCCTCCCATTTGATGGATCCCAATTAATTTCTTAGTGCTATATATCAACTAACTAAAATTTTATTTACATTGTCGGAAATATATTTGTTTCAGCTACAATTTTTAAAAAATTAATTAATAATGAGTACAAAAGCAACTGTTTCGCTCACTTACACGTTGTGCTCACAACGCCACAGTCTCCTTCATATTTATTTTTAATTTTACAGTGTTAAAGAAGTTACAACAAAAAAATGTTATGGTTTTCTTGACCTTTAGCAACTCAATTATAAATACAATTTGTTCTACGAAAATTCCATTTCCGCAAGTACTTTAAAAATGCTAAACGAAGTAATTTGTTCAGCAAAAGCCAATATGTACACAGGTCTGGAATTCTACGCGCTTCAAAGGGACGAACTAGACCATCCCCCCATTGGTGAGCACTTCATACGGCCACAGAGAATTGCAATTGAAAATAAACACTGATTGAACAAGAACTTCAAAGAGTGTACAATAGGTAAACATCAATCTCTTCCGCTTTTGTGTGAGATGAATAGAACTAACGAAAGAAAATAGGAAAAAAAAAAGAAAACCAATACTAAGATTTCCTTAATTTACTTAAAACCATCAAAGCAATTATTACATTTGCATATACAAACAAATAAAAATGAATTAATTATGTTTTTTACAAAATGAGATGAACGAACACTGTCAATTGTAATGAAATTATAACATATCGAAACCAAGATTGAATAGCTTGTAGATTCCATCAACAATAATCCTAACTTCGTACATCAATTCGCCGTCTTTGCAATACTGAGAAACCATGTCGTAATGCATCAATGTACAATTGTTATAATTAAAAACATTATCTACAGGATAAGGTTTGCATGGGCTGCGAACAACTATATTGTTAGTAGGTGACTTGTTTGGGTCTTGATCCATAATTTCGATTTCGTAATAATAATTGCGAGCATTTCTAGGTAATCCAAGATAGTACACGCACCATTTCATAAGACCATTTACGTCAATTTCCCAGCAGCATTTGAAAAGTTCGTCGTAAGCCTCGAACAGAATGTAATAGCACGCCTTTGCAGAATTGCAATTGTAAAAATTAGTGCAGGTCAGTTTTTGTTTATTGGCAACAAAAACATTACTTGAATGTTTGTCTTTGCAATGGTCAATCATGCTTGTCATTTTCCCAAACCACTGGCAATTGTTAATCCTTTGCAGGGGACATTCTTTTTCGCCGTAGTAACAAAACTCTTCATGGTCCTTTATCTTCCTTCCTACATCCACAAACTTACACCCGTCAAATCTGTTTCTACAAGGAATATTTAATTTTGAATACAGTTTCTCCAGAGCAAAACTTCTGGCAATTCCTTTAGGTTTGCGACACGTTGGACAATCCTTGAGTTTATGGTAACAACTGTCGCAGAAACTGTGACCCGTGACACATTGGCGTATGGGCGGACACATGAATTCCGTACATACTGGACACTCCAGTTCTACCAACAATTCATTGCTCAGACAGGCCATATTCCAATATCCAATAATTAACAACCTAAAACAAAGGAATGGCTCCAAATTATTTGAAATCAAATCAAATGCCGTAACGTGTGTGTGTAAAGCAGTTGTTGATGTTCCTGCAGGTCAATTAATAAAATACAAATGGTCCACGAAAATTGACAAGCCTTGTGTAGCAAATGAAATAACATGTAAAGCGATTAGAAATTGTTCTAATATTTCAAAATTAATCTCTAAAATAATGAAAATGAAATAAAATCAATTGAAAATAAAAAAATACTTTCAAACGTTTCAATATTAGACTTTATTGGAAACTTCGCAATTATTTTGGCATTATTTTACCTTTAGGAGAATATTACCAGAGTATCCTATATGTTTGGATGCTTTTTAGTTGAGTTAGTTTGAATGTAAACTCACTGTACAACACTGAAATAGTGTGGTATAAAGGGGTTAGTCTTTTGAATATTACTCTATGATTACAATAAAAATGACAGCTTTTCTTTTCTATTAGTTATTTTGCATTTATTGGTCTAAACTCATCTGTGTTCCAATATTGAGTAAATCGGATAATTAGTTTTGCAACGGAAGTGCCACAACGGAAACAGAACTACATTTTTACGGAAGCAGATGCGGAAGTGTAATGATTTAAAGTGGCTCTTTAGTGTAGCGGTCGACCGCCATTTTCGCGAATATTTTGTTACAGATTTTACACTTGGCACTTGCATCATTAATATAAACAAAATAAATTCCAAATAAGATCTTCATTTTGGCTATAAAATTGTACTTTTATTCTGTTGGTTACGAAAATGTTTAACAATACATTAATCGTCATAATGTAAACCTTCATCAATCAATCATTTGATCTAACATCGTCCCCTGACCGCTGATCATGATTATGAACGCAAATATATCGAAACGTTTGCGCTTAAACGGAGTACACGGCAACAATATCCAAAAATTCAACTTACTTCATCTAACTTAATGGACTGATGCTAATTAATTCTAATATTGAAACGTTTGAATGTAATTTTTATTAATTAACAATTAATTTTTAATAATGTTTTACAAAAATGTGGCTAACGTTGCTGTTTATTATAATAATAAAGTAATTATTATTTACTTTTTCGATACTTGCAATGAAAGCTGCAACAAATACAAAATATTGACACTAAATTCTTACAATAATAACAACATTATCTATTAGTAAGTACAAAAAAATGCTTTACTGACTCTGCCTAGTATTGAAGTAAAATAAAAAATAATTGTAAGTAAGTGTGCAACAATAATAAAAATTAGTCTTACCTTCACTAACAATATCCTTAATATAATAAACTGGAATCTGAACGTACTTTACACAGAATTACACAAACTAAACTGCTTCGTGGAACAAAATCGCCCCTTATGATACTTCTACGTATAACAGAAACTAACTGAACAATAATAGTGTCATTTTATGATGAGGTGAAGTACCTTCTATTGAGGGATGCAAAGGAAAGAAGGAGTACCTTTAATCAATAAATATCTGGTATACCTGAACTATTTCAGACACTAGTGATAATAACTGTATTAGATTAATCTTAAACTTGTTCTACATATGTTATTTATAATTGTATTTGTCATTAGTTGGTCTGTAATAATCAAGTTGTTGTTTACTTTACAGTGTCTTAGTTTACAATCAGTGGGTAATTATTATTGCATTAATTTAATGTAATAGTTATTTGTAAGTTTAGCAAATATTACATATAGGCACAAAATAATAGAGGTTGTATTAGCAAATAAATAAATACATATCTACAAAAACATTTAAAAATTGAAAGAAAGATAGAAAACTTTGCTATTTTCTTCTTACGTACCAAAATGAATAACGTTGCAATATATTACCCCTAAATTATGTTGTTTTCTGATGCAATGATTTTCTAATCCAGTAATATTTTTCTCGAAATGATTTTGATCCGTTTGTTTTTTTCTGCATGAGGAATTGAAAAGCATTGCTCAGTAACAGTCTTTTGTACTTTTTAGTTATAAATTCAATAAACATCATACACTAATTGTTCTTTATTTCGCCAGTTAACAAAATAATTGTATCAAATAATCTTCATAAATAGGTTGTAAACGGGTTTCTTGTTTCTTCTTACAGTAAAAAAACCCAAACTTGGCTGTACGCGTGATACCGAACGTTTAAATTAATAATTATTACTAAAGTATTATGATATACAGTTAATTTCATGATTTGTGTAACACCGTAAATGTTTTCTTTTTGTGAAATAAGAACTACCTACAGTTTTGTTTGTTTTGAATATTGTCAATATTGCCTTCAAAAGGTCATGGTTATAAACCATTTGCTAGTAATATTAAAAATTGTGTCATAATGCAAATGGCATCCTTTTTATGAGGTATAAAATTAATCTTGGTTATATTAACTTTATAAAGATTCCCAACCTTTTTCGTTTCTCATATTACAAGTAACAGTAAAAAGCTTACCGAAAAGAAATAAACCTAAATTATGTAATTTATGTATAATGTATTAAGTTACTCTAATGCTTTAACTTACCCTTGCATCTCGTTTTCAATGTACCCATTTCGCTGTCCACACTTTCTACCAGTTTTTCTTCTATCTAAAATGAAACGAAAGAAAATTTTGATAAAACATATCTCCTTTCATATTTTGCATTAGATTTATGTTACATCTTTATTTAATTATTTTATTTAATCTAAGTATTATTAAATTATAATAT